AGGAAGGAAAATAAAACAGAATAGGGGAATGGAGGGAAAAAAATCCTAGGAGACGAGGAGAACCATACCTACTCATGGTATCGTCCTCATCTGAATCGCCCAGGCTGGTACTCTCCAGCTCACTGGTCAGAAGGGTAGAGGAGCTCTCATACCCAGCCAGATGGCGCTCAAGCCTTGAGGGACCGCTGGGCCTGTGACCCCCAGCTACACATGAACAAGAAAATTAGCAAACAGGACTCCTGTCTTTCATATCCTCATTGAGGCTGAGGTCTGGCCCCCTTCCCAGCTCCCAACCTAACCAGCCATTCCGGGGCCTAGTCCCCCTCACCGCCATGCTCACTGCTGTCTCTCCTTCGAGGTCGTTCCCGCCTCAGTGACACTACTGACTCCGTTTCTGTCTCAGGTTCCAGATTTTCATGGCTGCTGGACACATTAGGGCTAGACAGGCAGAGAGATTTAAGTTTCCAATCCAGGTCAGTAAGGACAGCGCTCCAAACTGTCAGTCTCTCCTCCCAAAGACATGGATTCCCTCCTCATCTCCCTCCCCTGGAGTCAGGAATACAGAGGACTCACTGGAAGGACGGAGGCCTTGAGTCACCAATGCCACTGGTCCTCTCAGGTGGCAAAGGAGGTAATGGTGGGGGTGGAGGCACCAGCTCTGTCCGAGATTCATGGGTTGGGGGAGCCATTTCGGGTTGGGGATTATCTGATGACACTAGCTAGAAGAGGGCAAATGAGAAAATGTAGCTCCATTGAGATGGGGAGCATAAAAGAAGAGGCTCAAAAAAACAATTAGCAAGGGGACAGAGTCTCAGAGATCCTGGGGAAAGAACCTAGAAAAAGACTAACACCAGAAATAGAAGGCTAAGGGACTCACACTTGGCTCTTCAAGTAGGTAATGGGGCAGACAATGAAGGACACCAACTATTGGAAAGACAAGGCTATCAAAACAGACTAAAGCTCAGAGCAGCTTGGCAATGAGTCAGGGCCACTTACCCAGGATACCACCCTTCCATTGAAACAAGGCAAACGAGCACTGTCGTCTGAAATTTCTTCCTTCACCACCCTACAGACAGACACACGAGAGGTCAGCAAGGCTAGGCTAGCCATCCCCACCCTCGATCCTAGTCAACATTTCTCCCAATCTCCATCCAGTACAAGGATGTTAAGTCTCTCCTGCCCTAAGTCCTCTTTCCTTACTAAAACTATTCACTCTCACACTCATTTTCTCTTCCCAACATATCCTTAAGATTTCCTTCAGACTGATTCAATTCTTCCAGGACAATTTCAAAGGCCACCTCCCATGGTTACCCAGATGTCTAAAATACCTGTCTGACTTAGGAGTCTGGCTGGCAGTCTCCCTCCAATCCAATCCCCATACTTCACACTATCTGCCTCAAAGAGCTTTGGTCCTCATAGAAGCCCGTAGTGTTCCACTTCCCTTCTGTTTTCTTTAACTCACACCAGACAGCAGACCTAATATGTGGTCTTTGCCTGGGTAAAAACACTCATTAAGGCTGGGCACGGGTGGCTCACGCCTGTAATCCTAGCTACTCAGGAGGCTGAGATCTGAGGATCACAGTTCAAAGCCAGCCCGGGCAGGAAAATCCATGAGACTCTTATCTCCAACAAGCCAGTAGAAAACTGGAAGTGGCACTGTGGCTCAAGTGGTAGAGTGCTTGCCTTGAGCTGAAGAGCACAGGGACAGTGCCCAAACCCAGAGCTCAAGCCCCACAACCAACAAAAAAACAAAAACAACAACAACAACAAAACACTCATTAAGATGGAACAACAAAGCCAAGCACTGGTGGCTCGTGCCTGTAATCCTAGTTATTCAGGAGTCTGAGATCTAAGGATTGCAGTTCGAAGCCAGTCTGGGCAGGTAAATCCTTGAGACTAATCTCCAATTAACCACCAAAAAAAAAAAAAAAAAAAGCCAGAAGTAGAGCTGTGGATCAAGTAGTAGAATGCTAGCCTTGAGTAAAAAACCTCAGGGATAGCATCCAGGCCCTGAGTTCAAGCCCCAGAACCAATACAAACCAAAACAACACTACTAACAAAAATATCCATTAAGATGAAACAACAGTGTCTCCAAATCATCTCCAAATCACCTCTTCTTGGGAGGAAAGCTCCCAAGAAGAGAGAAGCCAGGCTTCCCATTCCCCTGTGCTTCACTTGGCACAAAACAGCCCTAAGCAAGCTCATCAGTCTAATAAATCCCAAAGCCCAACCACAAAGGATCAGTATCTCGAACAGTTTCTTGAAGTGGACTGGGTTTGTCCCTTCTTCTCACCCCTCCCCCACCCATCCAATCATTAACACAAATTCTGTTCAGCACTGTCCTGAGCACCTAGCACCATCCCTTATACTTAGTAGGCATTAACAAATACCTGTTGACTAAATGAAAAAAAAAAAAAAAA